GTGGTGTCTTCGGGCGGCTCCAGACTTCAATTCCGAATGGCCGTCTCAATGGAGAATCTAAGCCGAGACTGGGGATTTTGAGGTTCATGCTGAACATGGCCAATGGGAAACAAGATCCTCCCCCTGCCATCCCGCCTACTTCCGGCTAGAATGCTTGAGAACTCGGCAACAGAAATGGTGCTTCTAGCCGTTGCAGGAGCTGACAAGGGACGTTTGGGCTTTCCCTCACAAGTACTGTACAGCACATCGATCCTCTATGCAGGGGAACCCTTGTCTTGAGCATCAGGACTGTGCCCAATGACCGCCACCTATTGCACTCCACCACACCCACTTCACTTTTCCTCTCAACGGCGATGCGCTCCAGAGTCGAATCGTTGGTCTCAAAGCATGGCGATCCGATCTGCAAGCCGTCATCAATCAGGATCGTCCTTTTGCTCAGCCCCTTTGCGCGTTGTCTCTTCTCGGTTACGCTGCAACCTTAACGGGCGACGACTTTTCTTCCGCTCAGAAAAATCTATCAGATTGTTTGCATACCTACTAGTGGTTCAGAACAATTATCCTAAGTCCCGCTTTCCTCGGAGTCCGGCCTTTCTGCGCATCTGGTATTTGCACCCGACACTCGCACCGTTAGGGCACGAGCGCGCCATTGGCCCACGCCACCGCAAACGCCCCATTCCTTCCGAGTGAACCCCGATGATTGCTGTGCATATGGGGAAAATAATAGTAGTGCACGTCCACGGAGCCTAAATGATTTGCTGGGGTATTATTATCGGAAACAGAATTGGTGAGGCCGTTTGACGTTTGCCGAGGCCACGGGCTAGCAGCGCGACACACATGTAACCCCTGCTCAGGCACCGTTGGCCTCGTTCTCGCAACTACAAGAATAGTTAGCGGCACCGATCCTCCTTTCGGGACGAGCGGCGCGATGTGGAGTAGCGGGCCCAAAGAGCTCAAGCGCACGGCCGCGAGTGGAGGCGATGCACTTCCATTACCTGGTTCCTGAACGGGGCCGCGCAAAACTTTTGATGGTGCAACTCTCTTTTGCATCGGCTCGGGATGTTTTGCAGGGAAAGCTCCTTCATGGAATAATAATTGACAACAAGGTCGGCTTCCTCCGTCCTCCGTCCCCCGTCCCTTGCCCCATAGACCCAGCCCTAGTCAAATGAGTGAGACATCTCCGAAAGGCTTACGGGCTATAGATAGCAAGCATCATCGCAGATCCCGGCGCTTCCCCAACGGGTTTGTTTTGCGAATTGAATCCGTCAATAATCATTTGTTGTTGAGTTCTTCCCCCTCTCTGCACGATCGGTTGATCCTGCCGAGGAGGCACGCACCCGGACTGATCCCGCCTGGCCACGTTGTCTTTTTCCCTGATTCCCGTCCAGGATCGGAGAATTTTCCTGCTCCGATCCATTCCTAGGGCGCCCGTGCAACGTCATCCTGGTGGCGTGGTTGGCCGCTGAGGATCTCGGCTATTTGTGTACTATTTCTCTTCTGATCCATGTTGCCACTGTGGTATATAAACTCGAAAGACATTTTAAAATGCCTAGTGGTGTGGTAACTTTGTAGTCTGGTGTCCACCCGCGCATGCTCGGATAATGGCAGAAAGTATCGAATCATAGCTTCAAGTTTTCAATGCCTTAAAGGAACCTAAAAAAAGACCCGTACGGATGTCCGGTTACAATTCAGTTCAGACTAACCCTCACCGACAAGGCCGGACAAGAGGCAAACACGAGACTACCAGCCGCGGACCCTGGGCGTGGGCTTGGCACCGGCAGCGCACGTCCTTCACGGGGCGATCTGGGTCTGTTATTCGTGCATCTCGCTTGGAGACAAAGCTTTTTCCTTCGGCTGGTGCCTGGGACGGGGACGGACCCTTGGTAAGGACAACGGGATTGTTAGATCCTGTCAGGGCCAATGGCTCTCGGAGCATATCCAATGGAAGTTCATTTGACTGAGGGTCCAACACCAAACGAGAAAAGCCGGAACCACATGTGAACCAGGAGTCCACCCCGGCTTGGCGGACCCTTATTTCTCGATGGGTGTGTTTCATCTTGAGTAGGCTTATTCTGCCTTGGATTTTTCTTTTTTCTGTTTCACATTTGTTCGCCTACAGCGTCCCTATAGCCTCAGGCGTGACGTGGTACAGCCAGCGCGAAAAGTTTTGATCGTCCCTATGATAATTCAGAGTTTGCCCATTTGCCGACGATGTGATCTGTAGTCTACAGGCACCAACGTCTAGCTTCCGATCGAAATGCAACATCACCGTGCAACAATTACTGGAACCGAACCTCAACGATCTGAAGATAATTATACTTTCTCGCCTACAGCAGGTACAGTAGGCACCCGATAGTTCATGTATGTCATGCAAGCTGGTATCAAGACTACACAGCGTTGGTCATTTTTCATGGTAACTTCATTACAGTACGTACTCGAATACCTAAAGTCGAAGCTAGTGATGAACTCTGATCTTCGCCTAACGTCCTATGTCATCGCAGTCACTTGGGTGTTGGTGCAGGCGTTGCTGGACAGAGACGAATTTAGTTTCTTCGCCTACTGTGCACAGTGGATGAATATAATCAAATCTCGCAGCGGAAATTGGGAGCATTGTTTCTAAATCGAGTGAGCTTTTACTGTGAATAGTTGACTGCTATTGTTGCTTTTATTGATGAGACTCGATTCCTTTCTTCATAAAACATGCTCCGTGTTTGTCTCTGGCATCCGGGCTGTTATAGCACATATAGACAAACTATATCGGAGCTTTCGTATATCCAACGATACCCATAGAGCGCTTGCTGTGTGTGAAAATGCTACAATTCACACTTGTCTAGAATATGTGAGTACTACAGCAAAGTTTACAGTGAGAGAACTTCCAGTATCGCCATCGATGGAGGAGAGTTAGGCCTTCATTGTGGACAATAAACTGAGACGACTGGTTCAAAACCAACAGCATATCAACAATGTCAAAATGCAAAGGACATTAGCAATACAGGCAATCAACATTTCGATACAATTATATCTCATCTAGCTCATTGCCAAATCCAATTGCTACGATACGATGTCGATTATACTCCTATGCTCATAGAGACAGACGGTTATGCAAAAAAAGACTTTGATTCATTTTATGCGTTGAGACTATTCATCAACCTTTTTCCAACCATTCAATTCAGCACGTCAAGTCAAACCGAAGAAAAAAAAAGATTTACTCCTCATCCAGAGTCTTGAAGAAAGCCTTGCCAGCACGCTCGGGCTTGCCGGTCTCAACACCGGTCTGGCCGAGCTTCTGCTTGGAGTAAGCAGCGGCGTAGGGGTTGAGACGCAGCATGACCTGCTTGTTGCGGAGCGGGTTCTTCTTCTGGACGTTGACACGCTTGGTGCGGGCCTCGCCCTTGGGAGCGCGGACAACGGACTGGATTTCAGAGGAGTTGATGAGACGGGACAGGTCGGCGTTGGCAACCAGGTTAGATGGCAGGAGGTAGTCGCGCTTGAGGGCCGAGGCGTCGGTGGTGGTGCCGTAGACCTTGTCGAGGGCCTCGAAGGCGGAGGAGGTCCAGACGATGAAGCGGCCGAGGTGGCCACCGGGGGCGAGCTGGAGGAGGTTGAGAGAGAAGACGGGCGAGGTCTCAACACCGGGGATGTTGCGGAAGGCACGGACGAGGTCGGTGCCGTCGGTCTCCGGGTTGTAGACGACCAGGGGACCGCGGCGCTGGCGGAAGCGACGGTTACGCAGCTTACCCTTACCAGCGCGCATCTTGCGGGACTTCTGGACCTTGACGAGCTCAGAGCCGGCACCCAGGGCCTGGAGCAGAGCAATGGCGGCCTTGGTCTTGGTGATGGCGGCGGCCTTGGAGTCCACGACGAGGGGAACCTCGGGGACGGTGGCGACACGGTGACCGCGGGCGAACAGGAGGGCGGGAACGGAGGAGGCAGCCAGGGCAGAAGCAGTAGCGAAACGCTTCTGGTTGAGGTTGACCTTCTGGTGCCACTTGCGCCAGACCTTGGTGGGAGCGAACATACGACCAGAGCGGCACTGGTTACCGAAGGCAGCCTGACCGGCACGGTGAGTACCACCACCAGAGACACGGGGGATACGAGCGACAGCACGGCCTATGATCCACGAGTCAGTCCTGCTTCATCGAAGTTTCTTTCTTCATCTTCGGCCTCCCAAAAACGTACCGGTACCCCAGGACTCAGCAGAGGTCTGTTCACCAGCCTTCTCGCTCACAGCGTAGGGCTGGCGCTTGTTCTTGGCCATACCGGTGTGCACCTGCCTGTAGAGACTGTTAGTATTTTCCCTCCTCAAATCTCGAATTGTAGATTGGCGTGCCATACTGGACAATATCCGGGCGGATGGGCGCGGAGAAGACAGAGGGCAGGGGGTGGCTGGCCCCGGAGGGCTTGCCCTCAGCGGTGGCGATCGAAACGGTCGGACGCGAGGCCATTGTTGCTGGGTGAAGGTGGGTGGGTGTCGAAGGTGAGGTTAAAGATCGAACGGGCACAAACTTGGTGCATTTTCTTTCTTCGCTCTGTGGGCGTGCACGGCCCACCAGTGGGAAACACGCTAGTCCATATTCAGGACATTAGGGCTAGGTTGCCAATGAGCACGTGACTCCATACGAACTGCAGCTAGGGCTGCCTGATTTTCTTTTGTCTGTCTACACCTCAACCATTCCAGCCTCTGGCACTTTTCGAATGCATTCTTTGGCTGACACTATCTTCTACTATGTAATTTATCATCCACACCTCGATTACACTGACAACAGCTAAGTTGAAGAAATGAATTCATCCAGATTCGTGAGAAATCCTAAGCCCCTACCTAGCTCTCATATCCTAAATGTACATGGAAAAGAAAAGGAAAAAAGGAAATGATGCATCGAATAAAAGAAACAGGGTCTGTCCTCGAGGAGCAGAAACGAAAGGAAACGAAGGGGAAAAGAAGACCCGATGAATCAATGACTGTCACCATCCGAGGCCAGCGGATCCCGTGAGCTTTGAAGACTTTACGCGTGGTACTCGAGAGTAGCGGCACGTTTGCGGAAGCGCATTATCGAACGCGCCTTCTTGGTGGCCGTGATGGATAGATCCGTGCTTTGACCCGCGGCGCACTCCGTGCCTGGTGCCACTGGCATAACGGCGGACCACTGGCCACTCGCACAGCGCTGGAAGGAACTACCGTCAATGCAGTTCCACTCGCCTTCGGAACTGCAGGAGCCGCTCAGAGTACCCGAGCTGGAGCCCGAGCCCGAGCTGGGACCGGCGCTGTCAGAGGAAGATGGAGCTGGGGCAGCCGAGGCGGACGAGGAAGTTGGCTCGGAGGCAGTTGGGGGGTTGGGCTCGGGGGACGCTGCCGAGGGAGTGCTCGAGGATGTGGCTGAGGGAGCGGCAGCTCCGGCAGACGAAGAGCCGGACGAGCCAGAGGGACCGGAAGAACCAGAGCTGGCATCAGAGCCAGAGGCTGTGTCTCCAGAGCCACCGAAGGTCGGAGTACCGCTGCAGGCAGCCTCGCCCTTGGGCTGAAGATTTGCCGGCGCACCATCATACGAGATCACGTCGCCGGGATCGGGGAAGCGGATGTCGATGCCTTCTGTGGTGGTGCAGCCGTTGATGTTAGCGACGAACATGGGAGGGAAGCTGGTGGAACGCTTCTCAACCATTTCGGTGTCGCGCTTCGAAGAGCCGCTGGTGACGGTGACAGGTGCGCAGTTCATGTACATCTCGCGGTTGCCGATACGATTGAACCAGGTCCAGGCCAGGGTGTACTTGCCCGTCTCGATGCCCTCGGGGATGGCGAATTCGAAGTGGTATGGATCAACCATGGTCGCTCCGCCAGAGAGATTGCCGGTATCGTTGGCTGGGCATCCGCCTTCGAAGGACTTGATGACCTTCCACGAAGAAGTCTTGGTGGGTTGCAGGTCGGTGGTCAGACTGATTTGGCACGAGCCGCCGCCGTGGGTGGCGCTGCCGATGAAGGCCAGCTTCTGAGACTCGCCGATGGGCATGATATTCTGCGTGGTGACTTCCCAGGCATCGGCGCGCAGCTTGCAAGGGAAATCGCTACCATCTGCCGCCAGCGGCGAGTTGTTGAGTGAGTCCTTGCTGTAGGGGACGGGGTTGCTCATGATCATATGGGCGTTGGCGGCCGAAGCAGCCAGCATGGTAGCCAGAAGGCCAGACTTGACTAACATCATGATGAAGACAGAGATGATAGGACTGGTAGCAGAAAAGACAAACAGACCCGATTCGTGCCAGACGAAACGGAATCAATCAATAAGTGGCGGTCGGTAGCTGGGTAAATGAGTGAAGGCTTCCTGCGCCGGTATGTTAGCCCGGGACGAGAAGAGGAGCATGGGTAATGGGGAAACAAGATCAGACAGGGGGGCATGTAGATATAGGCCCAGGCATGAATGGGCCTTTATTGTGTCGGCTTGGATGCGACGAGACAATGGGCGGACATTCACCACAAAGAGGTACAATAGACAGCATAATAATACACGCCACCACAAGAGAAGACAATACCTTTGTTATTGACAGACAGACAGGGTTGTTTTAAACAAACCCTGCTCAGCGTTTTGGTGGCGTGGCGCGGGCGTTTACGCAGGCAACGACCACCAAGTCGAATCAGAAGAGAAAGGAACACAGGAACTGGCCTGTTCAAGAAGAGGAAAAAAGAAGAAGAAAGGAAAGAAGATCGGAATGCACCTGGCGAGAGTAAGAAAGAGAAAGGGCGTTTCCAGGGCTTTATATCTACATCGGACCTGTACACTCTCACGTCGCAGCCCGAGACTCTCCTCCCCTGATCCTCAAACCCGAATGGAGCAGCCCGTCCCTGTCTGTGCATTCCAGTCAATTAATTAGAGACGCGTCGGCTGATTTCCGGTATATGCACGTCTCGCGACGATCACGACACCGCCGTTCTGTGCGGTGGGGGGTGGTCGATGTCATCAACTTCGAGAAAACCAAGAAGATGGGCTGTTTCACCTTCTGATCCGAACAATCATGGGGAGAGGTATCCAGTCCGCACGGACAAACCCCTACGCCTAAGACCACCCGTGTCACACCATGCGGCTGTCGTTCCAGACACACTCTACTCTTGGCCTGCCGACCGGCGGGATTGGCCGTAGAGGAGGTTTTTTTTAGCGCCCAGCCTGATCGTTGGCGGGTCGCGGGCGAATCAGTGCTTGCGGAGGTGCTGCATGAGACATTATTCTGGCTGCTAGGAGGTGATCGATCTATGGCCCTGATTGGCATGTCCATGCAATGGATGTGTCGCAGCATTTGCCTTAGCATGCAGTATGTGGTACTTATTCTCCAGAAACAAGACTTTGGCTGAAACAGGGTCTGGTCGGAGCTTCAGATAATATTTCACGCAGAAATCATTCCATAGACCCTATAAAATAGTATAGAATAGCTGTCAGGAATTATGAGTATCTACAAAATAAAATACATATCCACAAAGCCACCCAGGGTTCCGCATCCAAACCAATCTCAACCGGTTTGTCCATCGGCTCGTTTCAGATAAACAATGACAAGTCTCCCAGATCCGCGATCCACCCCGATCAAAGGATCATCGCCGCGAGGGTGCTAGGATACTATGTATGCCCTGCAATCTCGTGGCAGGCTTGGCTTCTCGGAGTCGATCATTCAATGTTCTGACAGCTATGACAAATAACCGCGTGGTTCGCGGCCTCAACACGAAACGACGGAGCTGCTCGATCTGCCCTCGAACCCTGTGCGCATGCTGCTGGACCACAGGAAGCCATGGTACGGGCAAAGTCCGCGTTGTTCTGAGATGAGACGGGAGGCGCAAACGCTTCGAAAACGCCAACACTTTGATGGTCTGATCATCACAATTCCAAATTGTCCAGAGCGCAGGAGTTACCGAATCTGCCCTTCGCATGGGAATAACTGTTTCGATACAAGCGTCGACAGTGGATAGACTGGCGGAGATGAGCTATCACTCCGAGCTGGATGCACAGGACGGAGCTGTTCGGTGCCTTGGGAAATGGCGCATGACTGTGCGCGAATTTCAACAACAGTATCAATGAGAGGATCCAGGTCCGTCGTCTGTTTGGGGGTCGTACGACCCTCAAGGCATGACTGAACCGGATCACGCGTATAGTTGTATCTGATCAAATCTCTCTTGATAGTCCTCTCACTTCTTGCTCTTCTTCTTGCTCTTCTCGGCACTTCCCGCTGGGGCATTATCTTCCTTAGTGAAGCCAGCCTTCACCAGGGCATCACGACCCACATCATTGATCAAGCGGAACCTCGCCGGTCCAAGATGAATCCCGCCATACCACCGCGTGACAACCACGACCACATTCCATACATCCATCAACTGCATGACATGAAGTAAACGACCACCAGCAGCCGTCTCCCCATCATCATCATAGTCCTGGACAACGGTCTCCGATTCCCCGTTCGGAGCACCAGCTTTCTTATGCCGGATGCGCCAGGCACTGATGTTGTGCGTTGCCGCAGCGACTTTTCGGTCTGTCGCGGTGAGATGATCTAGAAACGCCTGCGCCTGCTCTAGACTCTCGACGCGGGCAGCGCGACCCAAAAACACGGATTTCTTCTCTGTCACCACGTCGGACAGGATCCAGGCTGGTGGGCTGTCGAGCCCGAATGTATCTCGTAGGGACAGCGTGGCGAACGCTTCAGTGGGTATCGTCGTTGCTGATTCACCGGTTGTAGTAGTTTGAGCCGACGCTGGTTCATCTGCTGCTATTGCATCTCCGGCTCCGTCGTCTTTGCTTCCACCAATATTCAAGTCCGGAAACCTCTCCGTCGCCTCGCTGATTACATCAAACAGACAGACTGCTCCAGGCTGCCATGTCCGCTGCACAATATCCTCCAACACAACGACCGCGATCTTCCCTTCACCACGCGCCGCGGTGGACGCCGTCCCCAGCACGACAGGCCGGGTCTCGGGGTATGAAGCCGAGAAACCAAGCACAAATGAAAGATGCGGCTGGCCGGGGATCTGGAGTATTACGGTTGCGGTGTGTGCATGGTCGTCATCCGGGGATCCGGCATTCCCCAGGTCAACAATGGTGTGGTTCGTTGCGGCGGTCGTCGCGGTGTGGCTCACGGTTACGGTGTCGGGCTCGTAGATGGCATTGATGGCATCGATTTCTTCGGCGAGATCCTGATTCTGCAGGGCTTCGAGCTGTGACATGATTCGGCCCTGCCGGGTGGGTTAGGATGGGGAGAAGTTTTGAGTCGATAAAAAAACACCCCACGTTTAACGGATGGTCAGGCATCAAGGCATCAGTCGTGCTCGATACAAGATGCTGAACTATCGATTCTTTCTCTGGATAAACTCTTGCTGCGAGTTTGGTACGATTGTCTACTGAGAACACTAATTACTAGAAAACCTATGTCCAATTAAACCCACTATATACACTGGAGATGAACATTAACAGCCCATTCCAAAGAGATTCGCTGTAGAACCAGATTGCACAGCTACCCCCATATCGCTACCGGGGCCATCATCCAAACCATCGAGATTCTTGCGCTGCCAGAACGACCGGAATCCCTCGACCAGTCTGTTCGTGACATCCGAGACCTCGTTGGCTTCCATGGGCGCAAATGCCAACCGGAAGTACCTGTGTGCTTGTTCAGTCGACTTCGGAGTCGCAGCAAACATACTCCCTGGGCCGACCAGGCACGGCTGTGGGATTTTCGTCAGATGTATCCAGAACGCCTTGGACAGCCTTTCCGAGCTATGCTTGGATCGCAAGGGGTGCGTGTCGAAACATGCCTCGAGCCAGAGGAACATGCCGCCCATCGGCCAGACAAAGTCGAACATTTGCGTCCGGTCGACTACCTCCCACTCATTGACGGAATCGTCGGAGGCAGCTGTGCTCTCGTTGAGGAGATATTTGCTCTCTTCAAGAATCGTGCACATGGCTTGCATGCGCTCCTCGTAGCTGCTGCGCAGACCCTCTAGCCAGCGCACCCAGCCATCCATTTGCCAGCCCTGTGCACCCTTCTTGGCAGAGACGGGTTCATCAGGCTGAGGGCCAATCAGCACTTCCGCGATCAGAGACTGCACGAAACCGGAGGGCTGCTGCGTCGAGACTTCTGTGATTCGAGTCACACGCTCGATAACACCAGGCTGTGCAGTCATCCAGCCCAGCCGACTGCCCGGTGCGATGGTCTTGGAGAAGGTATCTAGGCGCACAACACGGCCCTCGGTGTCCATAGACAGATACGACGGGACCAGCGAGTCTAGAAAAGCGTAGCCGGATGATTTGCCTTGCGCGTTGTAGTTTTGGGTGTACAAGGACGGCTCCGAGGATGGACCGCGGTAGCGAGTCGACAGCTCGTACGCTGATGGGAACTGCAAGTTCCAGTACGGCTCGTCCTCGACGATGATCACGTCGTATTTCTGACAGACAGCGTAGACCTGCTTTTTGCGCTCGACCGATAGCGTCCCTCCCGTAGGATTCTGCCCGACTCTGTGCCGGATGTCAAAAATCAATTCGGTCCAGTCTCTTTTGGGAAGAAGACTCACGCAATGGTATACAGCAAGTGCGGTCGTCGACCACGCCGGAAATCCCAGTTCTCCAGCACATCTTCCAGACCACCTTTACCTGTAACACGCAAGCCCTGGCCATCCATGGCCACGCCGACTATATTGATCCCCTTCGGTCTAGCCGTCTGGATGGCATTCATATAGGTGAATTCCTCGCACAACAGGCCCTCCCGCTGCTGGATCCAGTCGCGATCAGGGTTCCAGGCATTGATAAACAGCTCGATCACCTTGGCCAGACCATCAGTGGACCCGCAGGTCATGATAATCTCCGGGCCGCCCGCATAGGGGACATTGGGATGGAGGTGGTCGCGCGTGAACTGGCGGATAAAGGAGTGGACGGGCGGGTAGCCTTCAGCGAGTCCGTACTGCAGGGCCGTGGCCAGATCAATGCGCCGCTGGAGGTCGGCCGTGCGGCTTTCCTTGGGCACTGTTACACGGGCGGAGGCCGGCTTGGGGGCAACATTGTTGGTATTGGGGACGTTGAATCGCTGGGGCAGAGCGACATTGGCTTCTAGGGTGTCATAGGGGAAGTAGGACGGGTGTGGTTGGCCTGCGTGATTGATGAGGGATTGGCCAAGGTGTACAGAGACTGGTGCCAAAACTCACCGGCGGCGAAATTGACGATGCCAGGGATGGCAAAGTACTTGTAAAAGTCCTTGACAGCACTGGCATTACGATTCTTCGAGATGAAGGAAAAGTGGTGCGACAAGTCCACGGGAGCTGCCATGATGTTGTCGATCCAACGGTCGTGCGTGCATTGCATTCCATTCCATTAAATATCCGGGGAAAGAGCCTTATCTCCTCCCTTTTGCTTGATAAGCAGAAATGAACCCGGCTATCTGCCCGGTTTCCCGCGGTAGACACCGTTGGTATGCAGGAGGATAAGTGAATCGTAGTGTCCAATAACCTACCTTACTATACCTATAGCATAGATGCGTGAAGTCCGGCAAGGTTGACTCCCCATATGTATACCACGGGCCTTGGCCCATAACTAGATATCGAGAGTGTTCACTAATCTATTGGCCGGTCGTTCTCGGCCCATGCCGGATCCCGCGGATTCCGAGACTGCCAACCATCTTGATCCTCACATCATCGCCCCTACCCGCCATTGTTTCAAATCGGCCCAAAGCGCCCTTAGATTTTCTCGGTTAGGTCCTTCGCGTCAGAAATGGCGCCCGAGGACTCCGAACGTGACGAGGCGTCGGGTCTCAATCGGCGTGCTGTACGTACTCCACCGCCAGCTAGCATGGGTTGTTTCGGCGCCAGAGGGCCGGGCTAAAATGTTTAATGGGAAAAAGTGTGTCTGTTGCTGATAATCTGTCTCTTTTATATCTAGTGTGACCAATGTCGTCAACGAAAGGTAAGGCGCCCCTTTCCGTCTGACGCTGGAGCAGCCCACTGACTAGCCTCAGATTCGATGCGATAAGCGTTCGCCATGCTCGAACTGTCGCAGTTCCCGTATTGTCTGTCGATCTACAGGCGAGGGCCAGAAGACGCAAGAGCCCCGGCGGCGGGTATTGATCTCCAGCCAGTAGTGGGTATATGTTTCGACTACCAACAATTCTCATACTAACCTATCTTCCTAGTGAGAAAAAGATAGATCTCATCGAGGAACGTCTGGGCACGATCGACAGTACTCTTCGTGAACTGCTAACAGCTCAGACCCGATCCCTGAGAACAGAAAATCCAGCGGCCTACTTGTCTCCCTCATCACAAGCGGCAACTCACCCACAGACTCGATCGCAATCTTTCCCTGCACGTCAAAGACATCGACATCTCAGAAGCAATCCCGCAATTGACCAGCATGACAATGAGCAAGCATTTGAGGGTAATTCATCGCTCGCGGCGCATTCAGCCTATGCGAGCGAATTCCTGGAGTCTGCGGTGTCACACAGTGGCCCACAGATTGGGTCGAGCCCTAAGATTACGGATGCACTGTCGTCACTGAAGCAGATTGTCGGAATCCAGAATCAACGACGGAAGGCGGATGCGCAAGGTGGGCAGTTTCCAGGCAACATTACCCGTCTGGGTGCTGCCAGTTGTGACATCCGGGATTTGGAGATGCCGCCCCTTCCCGCCGTGCTAACACTGTTGAGGAATGTCAAGGGTAAGTAGACTCGAAAATAAACAGTTTGCAGTGCTGACTATTAGCAGAGAAGCCCCCATCTTTCTTTGCAGGCTTCTGTCCCTACATCACCGTGGACTATTTCATAGACAAGTGTCGTGAAGTATATTTTTGCACAGACGACTACTCAGACTCGGCATTTATCGTGACAAATATGTGCCTCTACAGCATCTTCCTCGAGTTCGGATTTATGGAGCAGAATGATACCACAAGGGATGAATACCTGCATTATTATCGGATGTGTCGCGGGAATCTGGAAGCAGCACTAGCAGGTCTAAATATGCTGATGCCTGCCACCAAGGAGTCAATCATGGCGTTGGCTATTGGGGTACGAGCTTCACCCCGAAAAAAGAAAACACACGCAGTCATTCGTTGCTAACAAATACAGGCCATGCATTCAATAGAAATCTCCAAGCCCTCTGTCGGATGGACCATGGCAACAACTGCTGCGAATCTATGCCAAACACTAGGGTACCATCGAGCGTCATCCATGGAACATGATAGCCCTCCGGTTCAGAGAGAGAAGCAGTGTCTTTTTTGGACTATCTATGTCATTATCAAAGCACTTTCATTGCGCTTGGGTCGGGCATCCACTCTCCAGGACTGGGATATCTCGCTCCCCATGACTTTCGACCATTTCGACAATCCGGAGCCATGGAAAACTGTCTGTACGCTGTGGGTCAAGACCGCCATCGTTCAAGGCAAGATTTACGAGCTCGTGTACAGTCCTGCGGCATTGAACCAACCAGAGAGCGAACGAGTATCGCATGCGAACCGTTTAGCTTCTGAGATGCAGTCAACGGTGATGGAGCCGTTTGAGGTATATGATCCTGTCATGTCGGAATGGAATCCAACTAATATAGATTCCCAGAGACTCCTATCCATTGACTATCAACTCTCTGAAATTGATATGATCTACCTGCGTTCGGACGAGGTTAGCCGTCTCTCTATCATGACACTGATATACAGAGCCATTCCCCCACCGGCGGGGTCTGGCTCTACATTCATACCAGAGTGTGTCAAGACAGCTCGCGCGGCGCTGGAGAGCCATCAGGCTTGTATGACTACGTTGAAGGAGTGCGATGAATTCATCAAATGCTCATACATGCATTGGTAAGATCTCTCAATCCAGTATACCATCTTCATCACCTCACCCACCTTACCCAACAGGGCAATCTTCCACGCTCCCTTCGTCCCCTTCATTGTCATCTTCTGCCACGTCATCGCAACCTCCTTCAGCTCAGACCTGACCCGGCTAGAAGACTTCGTCTCGTCCCTCCGCCCTCTCTGCTCGTTCTCCGAGGCCATCGACCAGCTTCACCGTCTCTGCCAGGTTCTCAGCACCGTCGCGCGACTCTATCTCGAGGCTAAAGCCCAGAGCCAGGCAGGTGAAGACGAGAGTTTAGCGTCTGTCGGCCATGAGTTCGATCTCTACCTTGGCGCACTGGGCCTAGCACCGGTCAGCAGCTCGATGACGGCGCCGCAGGGTCCCCTGCCTCCGCCTGATATCGGGTCTATTTCTGGATTCACGGAAGCGCAATTCCAACAACAGGAAGCAGGGCTTGCTGTTGCAGAGAATCCCGATTCTAGTGTTGCGGCGGAGATGTCGCAGACTGCACAGCTGGGCAATTGGTTCTGGGGGAATCAGTACATGATGGGTCTTTTGGAAGAGGATTTGTCATTGTTCGATCCCAGCGCGCAGCTTTGAATTTTTCTTTGCGGCCATGTGAAGAATGTATACATAGTAGGGATTAGTTAGTTACTCCAAATACTAAGTTGGAGATCGCCGTTGTGTCTGGTGGATCCGGAGTCCCAGCCAGTGAAAATCTTGCCCGGTACGTAATCCATTGGGGGTTCCAGATCTCCCTCGGTGCCTGGGCTCAATCAGCGATGAAGGCAACATGTAGCCTTGTTCCCATGCGTTCTTGGAGTCTTCTGTCTAGGTTTGACGGAGAAAAAAAATATCAGTCCAAACGTCATCTCCCCGCGATCGCAGTGGTGGACGATCTCGATTTTTTTTTTTTTAATGATCTCGTCGCATTGATTGTTCAGACACGAAGATTGACTGTCTGACGAAGAATTCGATTGTAGGAGGACAATTGGTTGGAATCTCGACTATCGCCTTGCTTGCAGTGCATTTGACTTTCTCATCCCGCTATCACCACACAGAACACCCACAGGGCCATGGCGGCCGAAGCACCTCTTCCCGAACTGGGGGAGCAAAAGTCCGACAATGCGATTCAGGAATCGCGGGTGCTGGTGATCATGACCGGTGGCACGATCTGCATGCAGCAGTCGCCCTCCGGGTTCGTGCCAGCCAGAGGGTTCCAAGAGAAATGCATGGCGCGGGTGCCGACGTTCAACGACGGCTCGCCATTAACACCAATGAACGTGGTAGCTAATGCGGCTGGCGAGCTCAAGGCACATCCCAGTCTCCGTACGCCGGTGACAGCCTACGGCCGGCAGGTGCGGTACACAGTCTTCGAGTTCGAAGAACTGCTGGACAGCAGCTCCATCAACGCCAAGGGATGGGCGGAGATCGCGCAGACCATCTCCTGGAACTACACGCTCTTCGATGGGTTTGTGGTTTTACACGGCACAGACAGTCTGGCGTACACCTGCTCCGCGCTCAGCTTCATGCTCCAGAACCTGGGAAAGCCCGTTGTCCTGACGGGGTCGCAGGCGCCGATGCTGCAGCTGCAGAATGATGCCACGGATAACTTGCTCGGGTCGCTGGTTGTGGCGGGCCATTTTATGATTCCCGAAGTGTGTCTGTACTTCAACAACAAACTCTTCCGGGGTAATCGGTCGACCAAAGTGGCCGCGAGCGACTATGCGGCCTTTGATGCGCCCAACTGTCCGCCGCTGGCGGTGACGACTTCCACCCGCACGAATGTCAATTGGGATATGGTGCACCGCCCGACGAGTCTGGAGCATTTCAGTATTCAGACGAATCTCGATACCACCCACGTTGCGTGCCTGCGAATTTTCCCCGGGATCAAGCCGGAGATGGTGGATGCAGTACTCAAATTGGATGGGCTGCGTGGGCTGGTCCTGGAGACATTTGGGGCTGGCAATGCCCCGTCGGGGCAGGATAATGCCATGACGAACGTGCTGGCTAGCGCGATCAAGAGGGGTATTGTGATTGTGAATGTCACCCAATGTAGGTTTGGTTTGGCTGTGCCCGGCTAAAGGGGTTTTTCTATTTTTTTGCTCACTCGTCTTGTCTAGGTCTTACGGGGAGCGTCAGCCCTGTCTACGCCCCGGGTATGAGTCTCTCGAAGGCTGGAGTGGTGGCCGGGCTAGACATGACAACCGAGGCAGCTCTCACGAAGCTAGCTTATCTCCTCGCCCTACCGGGGTCGACCCCGGAGACCGTGTCCAAGAACATGTCGATCTCACTGCGGGGCGAGCTTACTGAGATGTCGCAGCCGGTTTTCCGGCATCCAGATGGTGCTCTACCGGGACGGGTACAGACCCTTACTGCAATGGGATACGCCATTGCGCACGGCGACCTGGAGCGGGTGAAAACGATCATGAAATCAGAGCACCACTGGCTGCTGAACGACGCAGATTACTCGGGCAACACCCCAATTGTAGGTCTTACCACTCCCCCAAGGTTACTTATGCTAGTGAGTTATCTGGACTGATATGGTATATCTGTCAGCATCTGGCCGCCACCGCGCCCGCCATCGCCATTCTGCATTTCCTACTATCGCAGGGCGGATCGGTCCACCTCCGCAATCGCGCCGGACGCACGCCACTGTTCCTGGCGGCCAATGCGGGACTGTCGGACCATGTTCTACTGCTACGGAAATCTGGGGCGCATCTACATTCAGACGAGCGACCGGCCGCGGAGTTGCTGGCACGTCGGCGGCCGGGCGTCTGGGGATTGGCAGGGATTGGGCCAGGGGAAGGCGAGATGGCCGAGGACTGGGCCGGGCAGCGAATCATGGCGGGCTCGGCGCCGTCGTGAGGGATCCCCTTTCCAGACGTGGGCATATAGACGGGAGGGTCGGAAGGACCCTCGCTGGTTGGGAGAGCGCCTCTTATAGATCGCGTGATGCTTCTTAGTTTTCTCGGGGCCACGATGGTACTTGGTAGTTCATAGCTAGTGCAACTATCTGCCTCAACTACCCTTTTACCCAGCGGGTCCCTCCGATCCAACCCTGACCACGTGAGTGGAACTAGGACCCAGTGCTCGACATTCGCCCCCTGTCTAGACTTCTTCTGTATGTGGATTTACGTAAAAGAAAAGCAGTTTCTTCTTTTGCATCACTCGTCGCGAAGATGTCTGAAGCCCCCGGGCTTATGACAGTCAATACTGTTGGGCACGAAACGTAACCGGGCTTCCTTATCTTTCCTTTTCGTTCATACATACTTTCCCGCTCGGAACCAAAAAACCACTCATGGCCCACGTCTGAATTTTCTTTCTTGCTCGTTCTTCACGATCTGCAGCAAACGATGCGACGAGGTATTTGATGACTGTTTCCATTGCATAATTGTGTGGAGTTGCCCTGCTCTTGTTACATACTCTCAAGTTTTCTTCCTTCTTCCCCCTCCAACCATTATTACCCACACCCCACCTTACCAGTCCCGGCATTTCTTTCTCGGGGCTTACCCTTAACCACCTCCTCCTCCACCTCTCTCTCCCTCCCCGTCCCTTTCCTCATCCTTCTCTCTCCCCACCGGCCATGACACAACCCCAGAAGACAATCGCCGTGGTCAACGCGACAGGCCGACAAGCGGCATCGCTGATCCGCGTCGCGTCCGCCGTGGGGTATTCGGTGCGCGCGCAAATCCACTCGCTCAAGGGCCTTATCGCAGAGGAACTGCAAAACCTCCCCAATTTGACCCTACTGCAGGGCCCACTGCTAGGCAATACGCAGTTGATGGACGAGCTCTTCCGCGGCGCCAACTATGCCTTCATCAACACCACGTCGCAATCCGGCGACGAGGTGGCCATTGGCCGCGCGCTCGCCGACGCAGCCAAGCGTGCCGGCACCGTCACCCACTATATCTACAGCAGCATGCCCGATCACTCGGTGCATGGTCCCTGGCCCGCGGTGCCCCAGTGGGCGCCCAAGTTCACGGTCGAAAACTACGTGCGCCAGCTCGGGATGCCGTCTACTTTCGTCTATGCCGGTATCTACAACAACAACTTCACGAGCCTGCCATACCCGCTCTTCCAGATGGAGCTCATGCCCGACGGCAGCTTCGAGTGGCACGCTCCCTTCGATTCAGAAACCCCTCTACCCTGGCTAGACGCAGAGCACGACGTCGGGCCCACCCTCCTCCAGATTTTCAAGGACGGGCCGAAGAAGTGGAACGGCCACCGGTGAGTACATGGACAACCCGCAATGCACTTGAAATAACCTCTAACGTACTTCCCCGTTTTAGAATCGCGCTCACATTCGAAACCCTCTCCCCGGAACAAGTGTGCGCGGCATTCTCCCGGGCCCTCAACCGACCCTGTCGCTATGTGCAGGTGCCCAAGATCGAAATCAAGGTCAACATCCCGCTGGGATACCGGGAGCAGCTCGAAGCACTCGAAGAACTGTTCGGCATCCACAACGCGCCGTACTTCCCCCAGCCAGAATTCTCGCAACCAGCGGCCGGCTCGCCCAAGGGCCTTGGTCCGGCGGGCGGGAAGGGCGCCGGCGCGGGTATGATGCAAGGCCCTGGTGGCGTCATCTCGCTTCCTGTGACGGACGAAGCACGGCATCTGTGGCAGGGCTGGCGCGATATGGAAGAGTACGCGCGTGAGGTTTTCCCCGTGGAAGAGGAGGCCAATGGTTTGGACTGGATGCTCTAGTCTGTCTGGTGGCTGGATCTCTCGTCATCTCCCGCTTTCGTTCTCTCTTACGGGTCCCTTGCCTTCTGCGTGGCCTCCCGCCTTCTTTAACGACCGAACCCCCAAAGACATGCGTGGTGATGACCTCTGTGCATGGCTAGTGGGGGTTTTACTTTCCTTTTTGATGTTGCTGCTTAATCATTGCATTGTTGGCGAACGGGGCATGGAGAAATATATGGGATATCATGACTTATTCGGTTCTAATCGAAAGATGTCCCCGAGTATGAAAGTGCCAGACAGAAAGTCTCGTTGCACTCTCTTCTACGAACGAGACAACAAAAGTTCTTGCGTGTTTTTCTTTTCTTTCTATTTACAATCCCGTCCAATGGGATCTCACGACTCCCCGTGTTCGATGTTGCTTCTTTAGCTGTGAAGATTGGTAACGAAGACTTTGATGCTATAACAGAAGAAATGAATCCATCCATCCTGACGACTCGATCGTCTGCTCTTATCCTGTTGTGCGTCTTCATAGTCGTGTAGATTTCTTATTTATTCCTTACTACTCTTGATCAGTGATACCCCTGAAGAGGGGCATAACACCGCAGCCAATGGATATCGAGGCAACCAAGTGTACTAGGTATCTGGTCTGCATACCGAAACAGCAACAGATGCGGTTGAAATAAAGTGCGCTTCCTTTCTCTGTCTCCACTAGAGGATCCGGAAAAAGCAATGAGGTCTTCGGTTTGCCCTGATTGGGATGGAGATACAGGATTGCGGGTCTGCATCTCTATTTTCGTGGTAGTGGTTGTTCGTCGAATGCTAGGTATATATCTTCAGAGGTCCGTATGATTATATTGTTTGGCTATGTCTATGGGAGATACTTCCAAGATATATATATTGTGGCAATAAAAGCT